ATAGCCATAAAGTCCTAAACTTTATTTGAAAAGTTACTTCTCATTTGAAAAGTTAAAATTTATGAACTTTGAAGCTTGCTAAATTAATTTATAGCTCCAAAACCAAAAATATACTTGTATATGTCACAAATACGATGCAAAATATATAATAGAATTACATTGTACCTTGTTGTTTACCTTTCACTGATTTCTTGTACGGTATAAAGTTCAGTAATGATGGGGAGAAAAGGGCTCTACCCCTACCCCCCAGACCTCTGATGGGTGGGAGGAGTAAGTCTGTTTGCCAAGATAGTGCTGAGTCCTCAGATGTTGTACACTATAAATTATAGTATAATGACAAATTCAGCAAAATGTTCCAGCTATAAGTTACAAGTTTGGTCATTTTGAAGCTTGACATTTTAGTTGCTATAATGTTAAAAACATCCAAGTAGGTGATAGTTTCTCTAAAGTATATTATTAATACTGACTTTTCCTGTAAAATAAAACATCGTTATCGTTCAGCCTGCCTTGCATTGTATACTAGACTTCATTGTTGTAGCTCATGCTTCTTGGGATACTTAATGGTTTATGCTAGCCCTGGAAAGCTATCAGTAACAATTTCATGCTTATATCAAAGAATTAAGTCTGATCCTTAATATCTGATATTTTGCCAGTACTTCTAGTGATAAGGGATTTTTGAGAGTCAGTCACAGAATTTAAAAATAAATTCTAGTCTTTCCTTAGCTATTTGATACTCATCCCTGTTCCTTCAAAAGACATGATCACATTATTTTTTATGGCTACGGGGACAAATAGGCCAAGTACTCATCGCAAAGCATTTTTGTAAGTATGCTTGCTTATATTTAGTCCAGAAACAATGCATTCTAGATTGGTTTAGAATTACTGGTAGCTTATTTTACAGCAAGGAAAAGCAGCTGAGCAAGAATTTGCTGTCTTTAGAACAGTTTGTGAAATATGATATAAGGGTGTTTTCATTTTCCTATTCCCTTAAATATAATTGTACAGAGCTACTATTAATGTAATTTTTTGAGAAAACCTTAAAAATATCCCCAAATATTGAAATTAAGGGCATCAAATGACAAATTATCTTTGGTATATTAAACTATTTCCCTTCATGGATCTGTAATTTAAGTATAAAATATTGCCTTTGGTACAATTAAGACTTGTGTACATGTTGTATATAAACAAAGCAATATGCTTTCTTGGAGGAAAATTTTCTTTCTCTGAAATTTTTTTCATGGTTGTAGTCATCCTTGTTCAGTTCGTAAAAGTTTTGTTTGTGTTTTTTTAAACAGGATGCAACTTAAAATTTTCTTTGCATCAAGGTATATGCAAAACTTTGTTGCAGTGCATCACAAAATGAAAGTTTGCATTTAATGAGGAGATGCTTTACACAGTACTTTTTGCTATTTTTTGGAAAAGTTGCATTTAGATCTATTCTGAAGCTGTTAACTTTTAACAAATAAAATGTTACTGGTTTCCACAATGAAATACCATCTCATACCAATCAGAATGGCTATCATTAAAAGTCAAAAAATAATAGATGCTGGCAATGTGGTGGGCAAAAGGAAACACTTATACACTGTTGATGGGATTGTAAATTAGTTCAACCATTGTGGAAAGCATTATAATGACTCCTCAAGAGCTAAAGGCAGAACTGTCATTCGACCCAGCAATCCCATTACTGGGTATCTATCGGAAGGAATGTAAATAAATCATTCTACCATGAAGACACATGCATGTGAATGTTCATTGCAGCAGTATTCACAATAGCTTTTCACAATTTCAAAGACATGGAATCTACCTAATGCCTATTAATGACAGCCAGATAAAGAAAATGTGGCACAGATATACCATGGAATACTACGCAGCCATAAAAAAGAATGAGATCATGTCTTTTGTGGGAACATGGATGAAGCTGGGGGCTATAATACTTAGCAAACTAACACAAGAACAGAAAACCAAATACCACATGTTTTCACTTAGAAGTGGGAGTTGAATAATGAAAACTCATGAACACAAAGAAGGGAGCAATAGACACTGGGGTCTACTTGAGGGTAAATGTTTGCTAGGCAGAGTAGAATGACTGCACTTAACACAATGTATTGTATATTTTAAAACAGGTAGAAAGGAGAACTTTAAATGTTCCCA